AAGAGTAGTATGTTGCTTGTTGTTGTGCCATTGTTGGCTGGTTGTGAACTTATTTTTAAGTTGAATTCATGCTGATTTACATAAGAAGAGGCTTAATTATGTACTGTTGGTTGTGTTGCTCGATTTAAAAGAAAAGACAAATCAAAAATGTATTTTAGTAATCTGAATAATCAATTTTGAGTTTCTAAACTTATGGGACTGTTATGGGGTCGTTTTAAAGTTGTATTGTAGCTGAAAATCAATAGGTATAATTGAATATGTAACGGTTAATGTTGTTGATAAATTCTGGAAGGAAGAAGGGGTTTAAAATTATAGTTGTTTAATCACGAACCGAGCTAACCACTCGTTGTACTATTGTTTGAATTGTTCTTACATGGTTGAAAGGCCGAATGGATATGATTGGTTGTTGAAATTGTTGGTATTGTTGTTTGATACTATTTTGAATTCGGGGAAGTGAGAAAATATAAGGGAAGTGCTGCCCAATTTTCTGTAAGAGAGCCACTAGCTTAGAAATGTCTTTTGAGTCTTCTATGGTATTAACCATAGTTATAATACCTTGATGCAGGTTGAGGTACTACGAATAGTGTATATTGACTCATTATAAATAAAGGTATGTTAAGGCTAATTTTTTCTTCTTTTGGCATGATCCAGGCAACAAAACGTAAATGTAATATTATTCCATAAATGGTTCTACTATTAGTAATTAAGGATGTCTATGTTATTCATTCATGTGAAATGTAATTCAAAGCATGTCTAAGTATGTTCCTAACTCCCTACTGAGGCATACGATAAAGATGTTAATGTCCATGACATAATTAGAGGATAGACGACTATAGGTCATTCCAAAAGATGTCCTAATGATCCTAAAAGAATCTTCATGCATTTACCACCGAGCTAAGACCGGTTGGACAGTTACACATTTACCACCGAACTACGGCCGGTCAGGAAGTCATGCATTTATCATCGAGCTACGGCCGGTTGGGCGGTCACGCATTTACCACTATGCTACGGCTGGTCGGGCAGTTACCACTGATCAGTTGGGCATTCATGTTACGATATGGATAATAGGCCCAAAGAGAGTCATTAAATATACAAATATAATTAGTATGCATATCATGACCCTCAACGGCACTTCAGAAGTTCAGGTTGATTCTTATATCTCTCTAATTGATGTTGTCTTATTGTTATGTTTCAATTCTGCCTTACATACTCAGTACATTATTCGTACTTACGTCCTTTTTGTTGTGGACACTACATTCATGCCTGCATGTATAAGTAATCAGTTTGACGAGCCCTCATAGTAGATGACGTTAGCATTCAGCAAAAGATCGATAAGACTCCACTTCATTTAGAGTGCAGCCGAGTTTATAAGTCATGGTGTCAAAATTTTGCTATAGACTTATGGGTAGGTCAAGGCCTTGTTTCGACCATGTTTCGATATCAGATACTCTTAAAGGCATTCTAGACATAGGTTCATTATGTATAGTATGTTAGTGGCCTAGTCAGCCTTTGTTTATGTTTTCTTTTGGGTTGTACGGTGTCGATACTCATAGTGGCCTCCTCGACCTGTACATACAGATATGTTTTGAGAAAGAAGGAGTTTAGCTAAATCGGTCTATGTATGTTTTAGTTTATATCGAACGATCATGAGTTACAGAGTGGTTCGCTCGAGCCAGTACGACATCGGGTGCCAGCCACGCCTCACCTAGGTTGGGTTTGACACTCCAATTCACCTACCTCGCTCCATTACATAACCTCCATTTCACTCACCCTGCTCCAATACGATGTGTAACATCCTCGCAAGCTCCTTATTTCCTCAGATACTAGACCCAAGGCACTTGAAACTATCTCTCTTGGGGATAGCTTGTGTATCAAACCTCATGTCCACATTCGCTTCACTAATCCCATCACTGAACTTGCACTCTAAGTATTCTGACTTGGTTCTACTCAACTTGAACCCTTTAGACTCCAGAGTCTGTCTCTAAACCTCCAGTCTCACATTAACACCCCCTCGCATCCCGTTAATCAGTTCAATATCATCTGCAAATAACATATACCGTAGCATCTCCCTTTGAAATCCTTTCTTTTTCTCTTTTTTTTCCTACAAATATATCTAATATGGAACAAGCATATTTGAATAACATATGAGTAAAATTAAAAAATTACAATTGTACTAGCAATTGATGTTGACAAGTAGTTTTCGAAATAACTCATAACATACGAAAACCAATTTGTAGAAAGATAAAATTGAATTTGAACATAAACTTCACCTGGAAACAGTCTGTAAAAGTTAAAAGTTTTGTAAATATAAACAACAGTATAACATTGAATATACGCATACATGTTACTGGTAATAAAGCAGTCGCAAATTCACAATACTTAAGCCTAATTGTTGCATGGTATAGCTGGTATTTCTTTATTCATTCTAGGAAGTTCGAGAGATGAAATTAGCTTTCTAATGCCAATTATTGGCTTTAATTTGCAATATCCACATAACCATTTCTATGAATTGGTACTTGTCCATAAGATGTTCATCCTAGTTTGTTGATGATATGTTTCATCTGCTAGAACTAGATTTGATCTAAGCGAGCGCAAATCAGGTATGTGACGATAAGTGTTGTTGATCTGAACATGATGACAAAGGAAAATGTACAACAACAGTTACCCCTCAATCCCAAATAAGTTGAAGTCAACAACATGAATCCTCACTGAATAATGCAGAGTACTTCAATTTATCAAACATGCAAGTCCACGGTTACTCATATTCTTGAGGAATGATCACTGCCTTATGTTGACTATTTTAGGACCAATAACAAGGCTAGAAAGATGAGTAATTGCATAAAGAAACAGAGCATCCAAGTCATAAAATTTCAGAGGATCCAAAACAAAGAGTACTAAAAAATACTGCACCTTATTGCTAGGCACTCCATTTCCGGGTACTCTGTCACAGAAACAGAGTTAGTAGTTTCAGGCAAAAACAAGAACATGCAATCCCCATTGAGAAATTGATTCATAGAATAGGTAAATATACAAAGGAAAGAAATAAGACTTCCACTATATTCTCCACATTTACTACAAAGCATCATTGGACAAGAAAATCCGAATACCTTCCATTTCCAGTAAAACTGATTAATAGAGGCAGTCAACAAGGAGAGGAAAATATTCTAAACAGGATTAAGAAACATCAAGGAAAATTCGAAATAAATAAATAAATGAATAAGCAGTTAGCAATCAGATGTCAACTAGCAGTAATACTCCAGAGAGGATTAAGTAAGCAATATCAAAAAATAACCTCACAACCCAAAGAATCTGCAATACGCATATTACCATAAAGAATCTTCCTGATCGCTTCTATCTTTGATGTATCCAAAAAAAGAAATATGATATCATTCCTAAAAGACCGTACATACTTCTATAAGAACTTTGATTCGACCAACAAAGGTTGTGGTAGAGTGGTAAGTACTCCTTCATCCTTAACCAGGGTTCGAGCTCTGGGTATGGAGTCGCCTTTGTTAGGAGCGCTTTACCCCCGAAATATACTCTCCACGACATGTTGAAGAGATTAGCCCACCTCCCATAGACAATGAAGATACTAACATAACTAATCTAACTGTTAAGTGTAAAACACAATGAAAGAACAAAAAAGATGAGCAAGCAAGAAGATATATTCTCCAGATAGGGGATTGGCATTGATGAAATGACTTCACTGATACAAGAGTTAATTTATCCCCAATCTTTCTTCTCCATTTACCAAAAAAGCTAGTTATTCGACAAATTTGCTTCTCCACCAAAAGCATCTTCTACTTTAATATGAGAATGCCTGTATTTACAGTTTTTACCTATTAACACTGGCTCTACAGAAATAAAATGTAAATTAGCAGTAAAACGCTTGACAGTAGCTTGAAGAGGAATGACCAGTACAAACAAGGAATTGGATAAACCCCACAGTCAAAGAATGCTCTGTAGTCAATATCCCCCACCAAAGGAATTTCTCTTAGCTTCTGCTTTTGATGCAGAAATCATATAGCTGAAGCAACCCATCTTGTACTAATCTGTATTGAAAAGCAAGGTTTCTACTAGGACCTTGCTAAAAGACAGTTCCTGTCCGTACTAATCTGTTAGGGAGCTGAAAAACATAAAAAAACTATCTAGATCTTGTACATTCTGCATTTTGCGCCAAAAGACTAAGAAAGAAAACAGTTAATCTTCAGCTTGTGTGTTGTCCCTTCTGCATATTTTATCTATTGTATAGAAACTCGTGAACATAAATTTCTAAGCTAATACATAAAAGAGTATGATCAAACAGCTACATCTTAATTAACTTGATTCTAAATATTTATGTCAAAATTATAGATTCAGTGAAGTTAAAAGCTGGCGTAGATTCAACACAGGATCAGTTTTCTAGCTCTTCAGGAGTGAACTGTGTTGTTTTGTCCTTATTGGTGACTTCTCTTCCGCCTTAGTAAGAGAAACAGCAAAGAAGTGTAGGACTGTGCAGTTGAAAGTAGTACAGCTAGATAGTCAAGTTTGTAGCTGAATTGAATCGAGAGAAATAAGAACGAATGATGGAGTTTAGCGGTTATATCTACTTTCAGGATGATTGTGACCACCAAACATCTGAAGACACATACGAATAAAATCATTCAGACAAACTGAAGTAAGAATTTGTTATAAGAATACTTTACCTGTGCTGAGTAGTGTTGTTTGTCACTTGAACTTTTGCTTACTATACCTATCAGATTAGCCAAAGCTGAGACAAGATACTACCTCTAGAATCTAGAAGAACTTCACTAGGTCCAATAGGGCTTTAGGAGGAATACTATCATGACCAATGCATGCCAAACAGAAGAACCAAAATCATAATCGACAAAATAATTTAGATAGCCACATTTGAAAAAACACCAAGAACAACCATGTAGAAACATAATGATTTATCCTCTTTGATAGCAATGAGATATGAGCAAACATATCAGTAAATTTGGTAAAACTCACAAAATGCTCTATTGGCTTCTACTTTTGATGTACAAATCATAGACCTCAGGCATTTCATCCTTGAAAGGAAGCACATATCTTTCTAAGAACTTCGACTCAGAACATATCACAGCAGTATAAAGGTTCAGACTACACTTTGTCGGCTCCTTTTGGCTGAGTAGCTTCAAAACATTATGTCTAGGCAGAACTCTTTTCTCCAAGCTACATGTCAAAAACGTGGGATGAGAAGCCAGGTAATGAGACTCATATCCAAGTTCCTTCATTAAAAAATTTAACGTATTTCTGATCTTAGCTTCGGATCTTGTCAAACAGAGAGGAAGTTTTTGGACCAGTGTAAAAATCTCCGAGTCAGACCACCCGAAGCTCCTGAAGATTTCTAATCTCTTTTTCACTGTCGATTCGTCAAGCCATACAAGTGCATAAACCCCATGTATGAACATGTTGCAATCGCGAGAAAGAAAGAAAGTTTTTTCTACTCGATCCACTATGTCTTTGAGGCGCCCAGCTTTTTGAGTAAAAATTCTAGGATTCCAAATCATAAGCTTCTGTATATCGACACTTGAAAACCCAAGATTTTGCAGCAATAATATATTGGGTGACATTAGTTTAGGGGCATTAATACCCCATAAGAACCTAGGCTCTCTCTTGATAAACTTAGCTACAGAGTCATCACTACCTAACAGTTTCCGGAAATAATCAAGATTGGATCTGATTGAATTATCAAGACTTAAAAGGAAGAAAGACCCACTTTTTGCGATGACTTTAGCTAGGTCAGTACCAGATAAGCTAAGTTCTTGAAAAACCTTAATTTTGGGTTTAAGGGTTTTGTCAACATCAGAAAACAGCAACCTAGGGTTGGAAGAAACAAGGGATTTGATGTGGGTCTTGTCTAGACCAATTTGTTGGAAGAAATTGATGACTAATTGAGGCTTGTTGTTTCCAGGTTTCAAGAGTGTTACATTGGCGCTAGTAGAGATAGCTTTCTCGTTGGAGAAACCAAGTGAATTCACTAATATTTCCGCCAACAAATTGTTGTAGGAAGTTGCAGCAGAAGCAGCTGTGGAGTAGTAGATGGAAAACAGATAGTTGATGCCATTGTTACGACACTGACGAAACCAAAGCATCATCGATTTCTGGATGCGGGGAAATGGCGAAATTTAAGATTTCGTCCAAAATTCTCTCCCAAAATGCGCCCATTATCTGCAGAAGGCAAGTTTCCGCCCTTAAATATTTTCTTTTCTCTTTACTTTCTTTGCCATGTGTATTTTAAATTTTTATCTTTCATAGAGGGACTTTTTATTTACGCTAGTATTAATATCTAATAAATTATCCAATTCCTTCTGTACGGCAGTTGAATCAAATAAGAAAATAATTTATAAAAGATAAAATCATAATTAATTTTAAAGTTTTAAATATTAAGAATTTATACGTAGTTCAAATTAGAAAAAATTTAATAAAAGGAAAATTTTATTTGATTTTAAAGTTAAAATATTAAAAAATAATATATATCTCTATACATATATATAAAAGATATTGACCAGGTGACGTTGCATTCTCCTAAGGCAGGATTTCAACTTATCTTTTCTCTCAATTTTTCGCCCTTTCTCTATTACTCTGCCTCTTTCCTATTTGTTAAAAATATGTCCTTTCATTAACCCATTACATTAAATCTCACTCAATTAATCATCTCAATAACGTCTCCTCGGTTACTTTTCTCACAACCCAAACGTCTATACAAACAAACACCACCAGTTGAAAAACACAATTATTTCTTCTATCACCAACTTTTTGGCCTTTCAAGATACATTTTCACTCTCAATAGGTATTCCCTTTTCTCGCTCTCTCTTGTAGCTTCCATCTAATTGTCTTTCATTTTGCACTGCTAATGCTTGCATCTTTCTCTGTTCCACTGTTGATGCTTACTTATTTGATTAGGAATACATAATGCTTTTCATAAAACTTGCTTGGACCGGGCCTCCATAGATGTGGCCGGCCAAGGACAAGGGCCTACAACAATCACTCTTGAAACGCCCATTATATTGCTTTATTTAAATCTGAACGTAAAAACTAAAAGATGCACTTGCAGGAACGTTAAGCCTCATTACAGATCCAACAACTAAAACTTTTTCTTATTCATTTAAATCGAATCTCTTGCTGTCAAATGTTCGAATTGATTTTTTTTTTAACTTTTACCAGTCGTTCTTTACGATTTAGTCTCGATTCTCTCAGTCAACAATGCTGAGCAACATTGATTTTACCATTTGTGCTTTCGAATTTCAACTGCTCTCTAAATTTGTTCAACTGTTTTGCAAAAAACTCCACTTACCCAACTGACATCTTTAATTTAGTCACGATGACATGAAGCTAATTTAATCCATTTTGCTTTCTAATTTCAGATATGCTTTTGAATTGGGTTAATTCATTTATTGGATCACTTCAGTTATTTGTTGATTCATACGTTTATTCTCGCTCGAGTTTCAAGTTTTAACATCGACAGTGCATGAATCGAAGATCAATGAACAAGATCCTCCCCTCCTGATAAATGACCGATTTAATATTTGCAAGTAATTATCTCGCGAGCTTTTTTTATACCCATCATTTTAATCTTATTAGTGTTGGTAACACTAATTTGCTTTTTAGGACAAAGATCTACAATAAATATGGAGCTCTAAAGCAAAACTTCAATGAGAGGCCTTTTTTTATATATATAAAAAAAAAAAATCATATATAATTTTATTTAAATTTTGTATTTCTAATTTTTCATATGCAAAATTATTAATAATTTTATCTAATTCATTTAATTTCTCTTGAGATATACATGTTATGAATTAATAATTGAATCATTTCTCATTTTATGGTCTAGAGAGTGATTCCCAAAAAAATATTTTTTCTCAATTTATAATCAACAATTTAATCATACTTTTTTACTATGAAAATTTGTACTTTCTCATTTAAAACACTAAATATTCTTCTAAAAATAAATTAATATATAACCTATTAGAAATATTTGGGGCCCCAAAAATTATGAGGCCCAAAGCAGCTGCTTTAGCAGCCTTACTCTTGGGCCAGCACTGGATAGAGAAAGTGTTGGAAAAGGCTGAATGTTTTTCTGGCCTCTATCTGGAGTATGGTCTAGTGGTGAGCACCCTCCACTTCCAACCAAGAGGTTGTAAGTTCGAGTCACCTCAAGAGCAAGGTGGAGAGTTCTTGGAGGGAGGGAGCCGAGAGTTTATCGGAAACAGTCTTTCTACCCCATGATAGGGGTAAGGTCTGCGTACACACTACCCTTCCCAGACCCCACTAATGAAATTATATTGAGTTGTTATTGTTGTTGTATCCGGAGTAGATGCATCATGAGAAGAGGAGGTGCATTTATGGAGATTTAAGATATGTAAATAAAAGAAAAATGCATCACCCACTTACATGCATTTAAGAGCTTCAAAATCTAATGTAATAGGAATGTTTCATATTATCTCACCCTTTGTTAGGGGTGGGCATAATATCGACCGAACCGAAAAAATCGGCCGAATCAAAAATTTTGATTTTTCGATTTATTCGGTCGGTTTGCGGTTTATAGTTTTTAAAAGTTCGGTGCTCGGTTCGGTGTTAGGTTTTAACGGTTCGGTTTTCAGTTAAATAGAAAAACCGAAATTTTTTTACCAGCTTTTGGTATTTGTTTTTACTCTTTCTTGGTATTTTTACCTAGTTATACTATATTAGAAACCTATTTACCATATTTATTTAGGTTCATTATTAATTACTTTATATATCTATATTTACAAGTCATATACAAAACCATAAAAAAGAAAAAAATTCAAGATCCCTTAAATTTAGCATATTAGTTACACGACACCCACCCTCATTTTCAATAATCCCTACATTTAAGATTATGTTCCTTTTTCAAAGGATTTCAAAAATATTTTCTCTCTTAATAATCAACCAAAATCTCTCTTAATTTGTTATACCCACCGTTATCCCCCAAAATTATCGATTCTTTCCCTTTTCCCTTTTCCAAAGCTTTTCAAACCCAATTTTCCTCTTTCTTACGAATCACCCAAAAATTCTCTTTCTTATTGATACAATGCAAACGAATTTTGGAATATCGCTCTAAAATCAAGTTGTGGGTAAGTTTTGAATCTTATTTTCTTTCTTTCTAAATTCTTTATTGTATGTGACTTGTATATGATACATCAATTTCCAAAATAATACTTGATATAATACTAATACAATTATAGTATGATTATATTAGATTTTTAGTGTAGAGTTGTGATTGAAACTTGAAGAAGATGAAGATCATAATTGTATTATAATTTTTCAGAAATGTATTAAGATTGTATTATAATTATATATGTATCATAATTGTTGAAGGAATTGTATTATAAATGTATGATAGTTGTATATTCATTGTATATTGTTACTAGCAGTTGTGAATTCGTAACGAATTTCACAATTTGTATCACAATTATATGATAAATATATACTAATTTATTAGTATTGTATCGAGTATTATTTTGGGTATTATTGTACCATATACAAGTTAGATACAATTGTGTTTTAGGCATTGATGTATCTGATATAATTCAAATACAATTATGATACAGTTATCATACAATTCTTAAATATTTCTTTATTTTCAGTGTTGTCCAATCTCCCAGCAAAAGAATGATACAATTGATAATTTTTTTAATAATATAAAGCTCTAGGCAATGGTAGGAAGAGAGAAGATGGAGATTCTAGGCGTAAATTAAGGGATATTGATGTAAAAAAAGGAGGAGAAGGAAGAGGAAAGGGGAAAAAAAGAAAATGATGTAATTGAATCCCTAATTGAAGGCACTAATAATGGGGTGGGAGCCGTTTAAGGAGCAATCTACATAATTTGTAAGAAAAATTTAGATATTTATTAAAAACTACAAAATATAGAGAAGATAGGTAATTAAGTTTCTAATATAGTATAATTAGGTAAAAATCCCCTCTTTCTTAGTCTTAAAGCCCAAAACTAATTCTCAACCTAAAGAATCCCCAATCCATTGATGTGTCAGACCTATAGCCTGTCACCTTGTCCAAGACCGACATATCTTTTACAAAAAACATGTAATGCAGTAAATTTAAACCATCTGAATAATGAATTTGTATATACTAGTAATAAAGAGAAATTAACTACCAAAAATCACATAAATACATAAAACTAAAAGTCTATCACGGAATATCAATACAAAGAGAAACACAAAATGACAACAAGTAACAATTCCAATCTGAAACTTATCAAATAAAACTTACTTGTTACTTTTCAAATGAGTGAAAAATTCGAATCATGCCAGATTAATGTATGTTAAGACAAAAATTTAAATTGCGAAGATTTTGACTTTTTATAGTTTAGCTTTAAATATATTTTGCACCAATGCAACATACTGTTAATACTATTTTCTTTTCTGTTTTTGTAATGTAGAATGATTTTTTTTTCATAAAGATTCTTATCTTTTTCGTGTATTTGATGGGACTTCTTATTTCTTTTGTCTTTTTCTGTCAACAAGAAATCTTTTTTCATTATTTCGCAACATTTTTGCCATGGCTCAAATGAGTGAAAAATTCGAATCATGCCAGATTAATGTATGTTAAGACAAAAATTTAAATTGCAAAGATTTTGACTTTTTATAGTTTAGCTTTAAATATATTTTGCACCAATGCAAGATACTGTTAATACTATTTTCTTTTCTGTTTTTGTAATGTAGAATGATTTTTTTTTGCATAAAGATTCTTATCTTTTTCGTGTATTTGATGGGATTTCTTATTTCTTTTGTCTTTTTCTGTCAACAAGAAATCTTTTTTCATTGTTTCGCAACATTTTTGCCATGGCTTAAAACCGAAAAACCGAACCGATTAAACCGAATCGAATATGAATAAACTGAATTGAACCGAAGTTATTATGGTTCTATTTTGGTTATTAAAATCACAAACTGAAAAGCGAATAAACCGAATCGAACTTCTACAAAATCAAACCAAACCGACCGACGTCCACCCTTGCCTTTTGTTGAAATGCTTATATTTCCTGTTGTCAAGACTAAATACTCTGTACTGAAGATAGTAACCAATTCATATTTTTCGATATACTTTTTTATAACTTCAAATA